AGGAGCAAGGACGCTGCTAGTAGCTCCTGGCCTTACTACTAGCAACAAGAAGCTACTAGCAGGGATGCCCTGGTTGCGGCATGACTCGGCATGACCATCGATTGTGCCATTGCAATCATCTCCACCACAGTGTCATTACCTCCAACCCCAGTAACAACAAAAACCACATACTTCCAAGGGGTGTCCAATGGACACTCCCACATCCATCGACTGGACCGGCCACCGGCCGCCAGGAGGCTCCTGCTTCGGCGGAGCGGTGCTTCATTGGGAGACTCTTGAAGCTCCAGAAAGGTCTTGCGCACCACCACCTGCACCGGACCGTGTCCATCGGGACGAATCGAAGCCCCGCGAAGCCCCTCCCCCTGGTCGTTTCACATGCACGACACGTGACGTGTTGGCCTGAACAAAAATCCCAAAGCCTCAATCCAAGAGTGCAACACGGCAAGAAAAGAGGAGGAACATGGTATAAACGGTAAACTTGTCAACTGAGTACTGCTGCCTGCTGGTTAACGCCCAAACTCTCCCAATCTCACCCGCCTTCGCCTTTGTGTCTCCGATGTCTCCAATCACTTCAGGGCAATCCGAGGTCTTGGTATGTAAGGATGTCTTGAACGAAAAAACGTGGGACGTACGGAAAAGTCTTCTCCAAGCACCGGGAATCAGTACCATATGGATTGGCTTGATTTGGATGGTCCTCTGTTGCTCGGGGTCCCTGACCATCATTTGCTATTTGCGGGTTCACGTTCTGATCCTGGATCTCTACAATTCAGAGACAGGCCATTCCTGCCCTGGAGCAAATGAAAACCATCCTCAAGAGTAGGTACGTCACAATGTAACTTAGACGAAAAGCGAAACAAAGGGCAAAAAACCTATCATCGTATGCATGCTCCTTCTTACAAAAGAAGCAAACGGAAAGTTCGCCACTTGCAAAGCAGGTGCAAAACGCGGAAGCGTATCCTCAACCAAGCTTGGTGCTGTTGTTCCACCGTTTGCACGACCTGAAGTGAAACCCATGGGGTGGAATAAAGGGGTTCAGGAAAAAGTCAGTCGAGATGACTTCACCTAAACAACTCTTAATAATTAGGACCATACAGAAAACGACCTACTTGTCATTGTGTTTAAACAATGGCCGCACTGTCTGACTGCTGATTCGCGACGGTAAGCAGTCTTCTGCAACGTCAATGCTTGAAGACAGCTCTCCCGGACTTCCTTCAGAAGACAGGAGCAAAGGGCACCGCTACGAACGGAGCAAGAACGCTACTAGCTCCTGGCCTTACTACTAGGAGCAAGGACGCTACGAACGTAATAAAGGGAATCGCTCCGCGACCTGTCTAAACGTTCGCTTCTTTCAAGGCGACTACTGGTTCGCATGGCGGCCATGTGGCTATGCAATGGTCCCAAAAAAAAGCTACGGGCAATTTCATCTAACTCACCTCGCTGTTCCGTCCACATTCGTCGCTTCTTGGAGGGAATCAGCGACAAAAGCGCCGTCCTTCCACTGCTCCGTGCGCATGACGCATTGATAGGGAACCAAGGTCCGACAGTCCAAGCTGTTGAAGACCTGAACCTGACGCTGCGAAGTGATGTTCTTCAAAGGCTTGGCATTCCTAACATGTCCTAACCTAGCAGTGAAAATAACCTGCAAATGGGGATGCAAGATTTGGATGATTGGGCCATTGATAGCTGTTGGTCCAAATCAACTAGAAAAGATTAGAAAGGTTGAACATCTAAGTTGTCGGCTCCTTCTGCTGTTGAATGCAGCACAATTGACATACGTAGATTGGAAGTGAAAAGCTTACCCTCCTGCATATAAAGATGGAGCCCCGAAACCACTGAGTCTAGAGGAACATGGTCTTCCAGGGGATCAATTTTCAGGGTCAATAAAATGGAGAAGAGTGCAGTCCAACGCTGTCTGCTATCGATGCCAGGACACCTCTCTGTGCCCAAGCCTTTGCAGAAGCATCTGCAAGTACTTGTCGAAGCGGAATTTGCCACCTGAACAGGCAAGTACTTTGACCACTGTATGTTGTGGCAACCATCATGACATATCATGAGTTCTCGCCCCCCCTTCCAAGGGAAAAAAACCCATCGGTGCAATCTTAAGCACGTCCTCATCTGGTGCCCTGCCCGTGCCCCTTCTGCCCATCCTCATTGTCACTCACTCACTGACCGCGCCTGAATCAAATCGAGTCCAAGACCTCAGAATCGGATCCTCCGAAGAGATCGTCACCTCGACGACCGTCCCGCCGTCGCGGTCGTGGATGGGGACCGTACCGTCGTCGGGCACGCGGTCGTGCGCTGGAAGCAGGGGTGAGCCCCGATTGAAGCTCCGGAGGGCCAACACCACGTAAAAGCGGCGATCCAAGTCTCGCAGTGCTTGGACTCCTCGGTGGAAACGTCGAACGACAGATGGACGACAGAGTGCAGCATGTACAAACCAGGCGACTCAAAACATACCACTCACCCGCCTTTGCAAGAAAAACGACCATCTAACACAATAAACCAACACCTGTTGGGGGCCTTTAGCATAACCTATAGCATGATCTAGTTGATTCTTCTCCTTTGTTGTGGCGTCTTTTTCTCCACCGTTCGTCACACCTGTTCTCCACATTCAACAAATGCCAGCGGTGCACCAAGGCGATTGCAAAAACCCTGCATGGTCCGATGAGCAAGATCAATCAGCACCGAGAACAAAGGCGAGGCCCAACTAGCAAACTTGCCTTAGATGACACAAACACACCAGCCAGTCTACCAGCCCTATCTTGCCACTGAAGAAAAACCATGTAATCCTCACTACTTGTACTCAAACATCTCAAACAAGCTGGCTCTCATGCGATTCGCCACTTTTGTTTTTCCCACCCAATTGCTTCCCGTATTCTTCACATGGTGCATCCTGCAGTCCCCATGGTTCCTCTCTGCATCCAAGCTGACTGGTGGGCGTACTGAACATCGTGACCACTCTGATTCGCCCAAGTCGATCTTCGTTCCGCAGGATCTGCATGTATTCCTGGTTGCTGCCATCGATCTCCTGGAAATTCACAAGACATGCGTCCCCGGGCTCCGGGTAATCCTTTCGAAGCCGCAGGCGGGTCAGGGCGCCCTCAGTGTTGTACATGAAGTTGGCCTTGAGCAGACCGGCCGAGTCCCCAAAGAAGAGAAGTAGCAAGCCTTAGTTCTGACCCTTAGTGTTGCTGAACGACATGTCCCAAGTCCCATGTCCCTCACGAGGGCTGACCATTTCTAGGTTCGCTTCGACCCTTCAGTTCCTTCGCTCCGGCTCAAACGCAGTACCATTTCACTGGGTGAGGTGGCGTTCAGACGAAAGGCCCACGGTTTATATACAGCAAGAATCATACGGAACATAAAAAAATTGCCAAGCCCATCTATAGAATCTAGCTGATTCCCACGTGTTGGATGTGTTCATACATGTTCATACAATGCCTTCGCAAGGCCCGAGCCACGCAGGATTGGTATCCTGGTGTATTGTATTGCCAGCACATCGCCCGGTGCAAGGTTCTGCAAGACGTCCAAGCGCAGCTCGGGGTACCAACCGTCCAGGGATTTCCCGATGCTGGAGCCACGGACTTCCGGTCGGACCATGATGTCCGACACCTGGCCACATTAAGATGGAGGTTTCAACCGCAGCTGGCTGCAACGCTCCCGGTGGGCAACAAATGAAAAGGACACTCTCTGGACTATGAGGCATATTCATTTTAAGAATCATTGACAGCTGTTTATGAGATGAAAACTCAAGACACACATCTCTATACGTATATAATAGTAATATGTTTTGTAAGAAATCTGTATACCGGGCAGTATATGATATATACACATATATATATATAAGATCTAGTTCCAGCAGGTGCAACGGGTCAGAACATCGCGTCTTGCCTTCTCAGGCCCGTTGATTACCAAAATGTCCCTCATGTCAATTTTGATCAATCCGCGGCCGCGGCTGCCATCGCAAGGAGCGGAACGATAAGACAAAGTGCCATGTGGTTGTGAGGCTGCCACCTGCCAAGTCTGGAAAACGAAGAGCTAAGACATGCCAAGCACTGCTCCAGACACAATCCAGGTTGTGATGTGTTTTGGGTTTGAACTGTGGCTTCACCACCGCTCCCTTCCAAGATTTGGGCCACAAGCCAACCCTCGGCCCAAAAACACGTCAGTTACAGTTTCGCCGGCTTCGCCCGCCTTCCAGGTCCTGTCCGTCATCGCCAATCCCGCCAACTTGGTCCAGGCATCGATGCGCGACACCATCCGCCGAGCGGAGACGGCACCGACGACCGGTTTCGACGCTTGAGCCTGACAGCCCTCCGGGTGGACGACCAAACACCTGGGTTGGAGAAGACAATGACCAAACCCTCAGACTTCCACATGCCATGAGCCCCAAACCGGGCGCTGGCAACAAGAACCTCCGTACGACATTGTGCATCAAAGGTTCCAAGGAGGTGCACATCGGTGCTGGGCCAACTAAAAGCTTGATGCTATTGCCCCATTTGGACTTCATCAGCTCCGCCAGCACGATGCACATCTCTTGTGGTGGCACACCACCTAGAGAAGAAAAGGTGTCACGGCGAATGTTCAGTTCGTTGGGAAATTTGGTTGGCACAGGATGCCGGACACGGACCTTTTTTTCTCTGCAATGCCTTGTGGTGCCGGTGCTGTGCGCCAATGATGCATACATGAATGAATAAAGCAGCGGGTAGTACATCTAGAAAACTGTCATACATACCATAGGTCAGAAACCTAACTCTGAACTGGTCCAAATGATCTTATAATGCCTTCCCATGGTTTACCTACACTTCAATGCACGTCTTCTTTGAGTTGACAAGACCCAAAGGCACTTCGATGGCATGTCGAGAGGCACCTCTCTGCTGCAAATTCGTAAGGGTAGGAAATGAACAAATCAGCGAAATTACACCTGGAAGACTAACATAGAACATCATGGAACCTGAAAACCAGTGGGTTGTAGAGGAAAATAGTCTTCCAAAGGTACATGTTCAGGTTCCATGTGGGTCTCTTCCCGCATGTAAGAGTTTTGCTTGCACATCTGAAGTCTGCAACCCCGCTCCCTTTCCAATGTTCATCAGCTGGCGTGTTTGTGCCAAATCGACCTATTTCTGATTCATGTCCTCCTCCTAGCTGCTGATGTACCAAAAAAGGAACCTCACCAACTCTGATTCACATCCACAAAAATGTTTGGCGTATAGCTATCTGAGTTTCACATGGAAACACACGTGTATTGAAAGAGCGATGGAAATGAACCTCCATAGAACCCTACAAACATGGAGCCAAATGGTCACGCTTGCGCCATGCCCAGCCTAAGTTGTTCAGCAAACAAATCCAGCCCTCGGGCTCTGGCAGCTGCTTGGCACTTCGTCCCGCTTCCAAGCCCTCCATTAAGATTTCCACCACTTTCTTTGCGGACGCCATTGCTTCGGTCCTGGTCGACCAGTCGACAGTCCAGGACGTGCCCCGCAGTGAAAACAAAGAAACGCCCAGTCCAGAAGCCACACATTGGTTACACAATTTCTTAGATGTCTTATATCTCCACTCTGGTCTACAAACCTTCGAACCATCAAAAAAGGAATTCTCATCAACGTTCATGACTTGGAACGCATGCAAACAAATTGGCCATGTGCTACACTCATGAGGTTCTTTCCTGTATGTTAGTTGCTGGTGGGAAACTCATTAAATTGAGAACCCCCTTCTCCAAAGCCACTTGCGGTCCATGTCGGGTCCTGGCACCTGGCTCCCCATGAATGCCCAAGCCCACCTGCGGCCCAATGGAGTCCACATTTGACTGCGTTGACTGCCCTTGACCAACTTTGAACTTCGCAATGCTCAGTGTGCATTTGGAATTCAGAACATTTTCTTGCATCACTTACAATAGTTCCAAGCTTGTGAAATGGGAACCCAGACCAAGAAGACCAGGAGCTTGGCACTCCAGCAAGCACACAATTGCGTCTTTGCACCAAGCGCACGGTTCTTTTTGGTTATGTGCCCGTCGACACACCAATGCCCCTACAGTTGTCCTCCTGCAATGGTTTGGTGATTTAAAGTGAGTTATATACCTCTGAACATCTCTAAACAAAAATGTCAAGCAAGAGTGAGACCCAGCACCTACTTGACCCTAGCACGAGGGGCTCTCTTCCATTCGGCACTATTTTTGGGGGGGAAAAACACTAAAACGCCATGGACTTCTGCATGGCTGGCCTCCATCTTCTTGCGGGCGATGGATTCAGCCTTCAAGCGCCGGACCACTGAGAGGGAGATGCCCAGACTGAGACTCTTTGAGATCACCTGTTCCTTGCGTCGATCTTCTCGAGCGGGGAAGAGAGTTCGGTGCGGAACAGTGGTGTGGAGAGGTGGTGAACATCATCCGTTCCACATGCAATGTAGCCATGAGATGCCCTCAGGTCGTTTCGCTTCAATTGCTGGAATGTATTCAGAAGTGTGAAACACAACTGGCTCATCTCTCCCAAGCGATGACAGGTGCCGTCACTTGTTCGGGTGTCACTTGCTGCCCAGGCGGCCACTTCGGTCTTAATCTCACTGAGGGACTTGCCCTCCTCAGACATGGCGCCTGCCACCTTGACGACATCGATAAACCATGATAAAAATATTGCAAACTTCGATGTGCTTCAAGCGTTTTAGGACTTGCCAGGCGCGCGCTGCAAGGATGAGGTGGGGAAAAAGTAAGCTGCCAGGAAGCTCAGGTAGATTGGCATCTCGGAACTTCCAATGAATGAAGCTGCCAACCACCCCTACAGCCCTTGGTCCCTCCAAACCGGATTTGAGACAAGCCCTCCAAAGTGGAATCGGGTCCAAGGGGCGATCTCATCGGCCCTTGTGACAATTGGCTACGGGCTAGTAGCTTCCTTGCTCCTAGTGGTCTCCAACCTACTAGTTACTAGCTTCTTGTTCCGTTCGTAGCGATGCCCTTGTTCCGTTCATAGCGATGCCAGCTACATCAGGCCATGCGCCTTGTGCACAAAGAGCGTTCCGGCAATTCCTCGCTCCGCCGTGGTGGCCACATCATCCTCTCGGTGACCGGGGTCCATTCCAATGGCATGTCGCATGCTTGGGTTTGGGCCAAAGGGAAAACGGAAGGAGTTGGGACACTTGGAATATTGTCGCTTGACAGTGATTTACACCTGACTTGAGATGCCCACAGCCAAATGTCAACCATTGATGAACTCGATGGACATTGCGGCGCTCATAACCTTGTGATGTCGTCTAGCTAAGGCTCATTGTCAAGACCTATGTATTCGGAATGAGCCACGAGAGCACAATGTCTTTGCAGTATCCTATTGATACATGAGCTGCAACAAACATCGACAAACTATTCGCTGGTCACGAACAGTTCCACTCAAGGTGGCAGGAATTGAAAGCATATTCAAACGATGTCAAACCCAAGCTAACACACACAGATCAGCTTAGCGTCTGTCAAAACGCACTGTCAATTAGAGGACATGACTCAGCAAGGTTATCGCTTTTGAGCAAAGCCTATCGGGCCTATCGCTGTTGCATGTTCTAGCCACACTGTCAAGAAAAACTGAACATATCCAAAAACACTGTGGAAAACAATCGGATAAATTGTTTTGAATGCTTGTGAGGGTGCCCTATTAGCCTATTCCTTTTGGTGTTTGTCCAATTCCTTAAAATCACGACCGTTCTTTACACGTTTTGGCGGTTGCTCAGGCTGCTGTTGGACCCAAACCTGCGCGGCACCGTGGCACGGTACCCTCTTTCCGCTCACGATCCGGATTTGTGAAGCAAGAACATCTAAGCCCGGCCCAGCCATTCAAAGCAAAACGAAGAATGGGATATATATATATATATACATATATGGGAGGCTCCTAAATGGCCAGTATATATAAATGGGAGGCTCCTAAAATGGCCAGTTTTTTGAGAAGGGTCACATTGCGTCACCTTAAGGCTGAATCGGCATGCTTTCCAGTCCTTGACAATCACTGTCTCCACTTGAAGGCCATAGATCGATCTGGCCTGGATGCTCTCATCTCTCAGCTGGTCACCCACGGACCCAAGGTGTCTGTGGTTCATTCTGATGGATCCAATGCAGCAAGTTGATGGATTCTATATAGGACTGGCGTCGCGTCTCACCGACAAGACCTCCTTCCGCCTCATTGAAACACACAACCTCATCCTCAACTTTGAACATTAAACCTCTCACCGCACTTTCAGTCACCAACAAGGACATCAAATGTTCGCAAGCTGCATAGTTGCAAGTGCAAGAAGACCTTAAGACCAGTATATAAATGGCACCAGCAAGATCGGCAAAGCCCTCAAAGCTCTGGTTTTCATTCCTCCCATAATCTTCGTGTATACATAACTGCCATAGCTTAAGAATCTGGTCTGATGGCCTCAATAAGACCAACTCCCCATCATCAAATCCGAAAGCGAATCATTTCTAGTAGCAAGAAGCTACTAGGTCCAGGTTGGAGGCCATCGCTATTAGGTTGGAGGCCATCGCTATTCTAGTAGCAAGAAACTACAGTAGATGTCCTGTATTCCTGTGTCGGGTCCAGCGATCTCGCGACCCGCCTTCTGAGCCGCAAGAGTGAAGTTCAAGCGATCGCCGGTGTAGTTCTTAATGACCAGCAAGCAACCCTTGGGGCCAGTGACTTGGACCTCAGTCGATGAGTCGCAAGTTTCGCGAAAAGGAAGGCATTGCTGCAGTGAAACCGGCCAGTGTGTGGCAACTGGAACTGCCAGGCGGTCATCTGCCCTCTGTGGAACACGAGGTGCATACCCAACCTTCCAATGCACGCGACACTTGTTCTGAGGGCGTGCAAAGCATGTGTTCCACTGATTTGACGTCTGCCCACACACACATTAGCGGCTAGCGATCTTCAGCACTCTTCCAGAATGGCCAGCTCAAGCATCAGCCCGTGTCCGAAAACCCCATAAAACCCATATATATATATATATAACTGAAAGCTAGCAAAAAGCAGTTGGTCTACGCATGAAGTAAGTGTGTGTGTGTGTGTGATGTGACAAGTGCCAAAGCAGCGGTGACCATACTGCTAAATATCAAACCACATGACCACATGCGATACTCTCGACTGCTTCACTGAACGACACCCATCTCCTTCTGAACTCACGAGGTGCAATGGCCGCAAGCACTGCATCGATGGAAGGAGATGCAAAGGTTTCTCCAGAGATTGCAGCTGTCAAAAGACCTTGCAGCTGTTTCTCCGTGCGGGGAGCAAGAAGGGGTGCGACCCAAAAACCTCTGGCCAAATTGGCCAAAGAGGGTGAAGTTCCATCAAACATTAAAGATTGCCATCTCAGCAGCTGTGGCAAGTCCAGTTAAGTAACCTATAGTTCAGATTTGAGGAATCATAATTATAATGAATTATGTAATTCTCCGATTGTAGCCTCAAACTTGTACATTAAACAAATTGTCGGGACATTTTGCATGTCATTGGGAACCCTATAGGGGCTTTACCTGCTACGAGTACATCTTACATCTTGCTACAACCTGCACCACCCAACACAAAACACAACACTTTCGAGGCAAACCACCCAAAAAACAATACAAACACATTTAAAAAGAGAGACTTCACAGGCCCTTGACCGCTTCCTACCGATCCAACCCAGCCACGGACGTCCTACGATGTCCTGGGTCCCCACCTCGTCCCACGAAGCCGCCGTGCAAGGGCTCGTGGCCGGCGCCGCCGCCGGAGATCACGGAGACCTGGAGGGCGACCCCAGATCCGCGGTCGGTCCGACGGCGCCGGGCGCGGGTTTGGAGCGTTTTTGGGGGGTGGAGAAGTTTCGCACTTCGCGAAGCTGCAGCGCCAGGAAGGGTTTGGGGTTTCACCAAGAGTTTGCTCATTGCGTTGCCTGGCTCGTTGTCGTGAATCCAGGATTGTCTATAAGAAAAGAATGTAATAATTGCGTTGAGCAATGGCAGCCATACATGACCAACCATCAAATATTGTTTGACAAAATGCGAAAAACAAGAGAGGCAAAACACAAGCAAATGAAAATGCAAAAGCAGCGCAATTTGCTTTGTTTTTGCATGTGTTTTGCTTTTTGTTTTTTCATTGTTTAATCTTTTTTCCTGGTACCACTTCTGCACTTATGAGAACTTTTACCTGTAAGCAATATTTGTTGTACGCTCCTAGGGGAAAAGCGGACAAAAGCGGGAAAAAAAAGCGAAACAAATGCGAAAATAAAGCGAACAAATTGGAAAATAAAGCGGAAAAAAGTGAAAAAGCGACAAACACACACAGCTACATTATTTGTTGCTTCTTTGTTTGCTTTACCTTTTGCCTTTTATTTGGCATTGTTTTTGCTTTAAGAAAATATTTTAGCTCCTTGTATATGGCTGGCGTGCCCAACTCAGCTCCATGATCACCCCAGTCAAAAAAAAAGCATCCAAACGGCGATGTTGATATTCTGTTGCAATTACATGTGTGTTGGGCCTCTTCCGGCAAAACAAATGCCTATCTTCCTTCACCGTTGCTCAACATGACCGAAAGCATTCCCTATGAAACGAATTTGGCACCAACAAAGAACGCTCAAGTTGCTGAAGCCTACACGGGTCAGAGTCCAATCAATGTTTCACCAAGTTATCCCCCGTTTGAATCCCAGTTTCACATGGTGGCAATGAGCATGAACATGGCGGTTCATGCATGGTCTAATGCAACATACCCAGAGTCCGTTGTTCTATTGTCTGATGATGTCTGATGTATGGATATTTTACTGTACCAGGCATCAACCAGGCATCACTGTATGTGAGGCTCTATCCCTGGTCGGCCTTGTCCTTGTTCCAATCCGTCCGGTAGACCACTTTGATGTCTGGATAGCCATCAAGGCGGGCCAGGTTGGGCGTTGCCCAAATCAATCCATCCACACAATCCTCGGCTCGGGACTGCACTCCAATCGGTTTGGCTCAGGACTGCCGGTCAAGTCACCAAGCCTGTGTTTTTTCACTCAGGCTAAGGGAGCGCTTCATGGACCGAATCAGGAATCCCAGTTTGAGATGAAGCCACCCCTTGCAATCTGAGGCAAAAGGACTTCGAATTCATCTTGAACTCATTATGACATATCAGTGGATGATATGCTTCAGTTGCAGGCCGGAATCTCGCCTGAACGATGCTGGGCTCCTCGTTGATGAAGCGCTTGGGGTTCGCCGCTGCGGTCTGAGGGCCGGCTTGGCAGTGGAGGATCGTGCGTAACAAGTCTTTCGTTAAAACGTTCTCAGGCAGCTTGAATGGGGGGGCATGAGACATGAGTTCGACATGTGACTGCGAACCCCTTACCTGCTACCCCTCAAAAACAGCAGGAATTCTTCGGAATCCTGAGATTTGGACCAAATTTACGATGAAAAAAAACATTTTTCTTGGTGTAGTGACATTCGTGGTGGATAGCATAGCATATAAATTGACCCTGGCCTCTCCCTTTTCCAGGTGAACATTATGGTATCTAGGTTCAACTTGAGGCCGACGTCAAGTTGAAATAGAACAACCCTTATAGGAACCCCTTTCTGGGGGGGGTTAGGAGAAATGCAAGAACTGGGATAGGACTGAGACCCTCAAGTGCTCGGCACGCTCGACACTAGCCTTGACTGCCTTGGCGGCGCCTTTGGGCTCTGCCTGGGGACCACGGTGCTTGGACTGAACCAGGTCACCGTGTTCACATGGCTTCTCAAACTTCGCAAAACGGCTATGATGTGCTATGTAAACCTCACAAAAGCTTGCCTCAGCTGGGCATCCATTCTTCTTGTATCGCTGAGGTGCTCAAGTCGCCCCACCCTTCTCCAAAGAACCTGCCTTCGCTTTGGCCTTGGCTTTTGCCTTAGGCTCCGGAGAAGCCTGCGCGGAGTGGCCAGGTGCACGGGTGGAATTGGCTTAGCTTGTCAATAGCCGAATGATATCTCACCTTGCAAAGGCTACGAGATCTCAAAACCCTCTAGATGTAGCTCATCGATGCTAATCGTTCCTGCATTTCCTTCAAATAAACCCTCGGTGGCCCGTGCGAGCCCCCCTCGGGATTCCCAAATACATGCTAGCGGTCGGTCGGTCAAGTACTGCCCCGGCGTTCCTGCCGGCGCCACGCCGAACGCGCGAGAGTGCCGCGTGTGTAAAGGAATTGTCCTCTCACAGTGCCCAGGCGAGAAGTGTAAAATGGGTTCATTCCACATCCTTCCACCATCACTGGCGAGAATTGCCTGTTCACCTGCATCAAACATCATCAAACACCCTTTTTCCTTAGATCCAAGACCCCCATTCTCTCATTCAAGCTATCCCCTACCCACCGCTGCCTTCGCTTTTCCTTTGCCCTTCCCATCGCCCTGGTCGGCAAAAGCGCGGACCGAAGGTGGGGAGGCGGACGGTTTCGGGTTTCTCCACTGGACTCTGCAAGAAATGGCAGCCAACATGTGCTGTCTCCAGTCGATCTGCAAGGGCAGGTTTCTTCTATATGGTCAACAAATTCTCTTCTCTTCTCTTCTCTCTCTCTCTCGCTCCGACTGACTGACCCATTTTTCGTACCCGGCTGTGGGTGATGGCCACCTTCTTGGCGCTGTGCACCAACCAAGTGGCCAACCACTTTCTCGGCTGGCCTTTTCTTTGCCTTTGCCTTTGGCCCCCTTTGGTTCGGCCTGTTCCAGAATCCATGCATGGTGCAAGGGCGTTAACAGCATAAGGACTGTGATCTAAAGACAAAGGCGGGGTAGGGCATCCAAACAATGGAACATTATATGACCGAATAGTTTGGATGGATTTATGGCTTGGGCAATTTGGGCAATGCTGTGTGTGAAAATGTTCTGCAGGGCGGTGAGCAATGGCAAGCCGCTAGCCTTTGGTTTCGACTTTCCGCTGGGCTTGGCCTTTTCTGGGTACATCTCATAGTCCTGCCAGCAGTTTGAAGATTTCAAGGAATGCAACCGATTTACAGGTGTCACCCCACCATGTGCCTACGACACAATGTGAGAGTATATACATTTGTGTATAGAGGATATGTTGCCCAACTGGTTGCTGCGCGTCATGATGCGATGCAACCCAAAGGTCAGCCAGCTGCCTGGAACACAATTTGAAGCCTTGCATGTGTACCATACATGGAGCCAGCTGAATAAGTCAGGCATACGGCAGACTAAGCCTAATACGATCAACTATCACCTCTATTGGTGCCTTCATAGCATGCGGCGTGACGATCAAAAAAACGGCTACGTCGATTTCCGTCCCAGTAGGAGTTGATGACCTCCGGCTTGTATCTCCTGGGATCTACACACACCCTCACGGGAGAAGGCGGAGTGGTGAACCAGAAAGCCACAGGTGGCCGCGTACTGAGGGCCTACTGAGCCTTTTCCCTTGCCAATAGATATGGGACTCAGGACCAGACCTTGAACTCGTTGCACGACTGCTGGTTCCTCCCTGCTGGGTTCCTCTACTTTCAAGCAACGCCCTGCACATAAATGCTCGCATATCTGCTAGTACTGTGCATTGAAGCATGTTCATCATATTGACCGTGTATCACCAGGCCCACTCGTATTTTCTCGTGCGCTTGGTTCAAGATCATCTACAGCTTCCAAGAACCCTCCATGTCCAAATCCATCACAGCTCTCTACTTGTTCTCCCCAGCTACAGGGATCTGTAGTGAACCCAGATCTCATCGTAGGTGTAGTAGGCGCCGTCATTGGGATCGCAGCGCCGCTCCATGGGGAACCGCGGTCCCCCCTGCGCCCGCCCCGCTCCGGGAACTGTCCGGAACCGAAGCTGGAGACCGAGCCGCGAAGAGACACGCGAGCCGCGGCGAGCAGTTTGGACCGGTCTTGGAGTCACCTGTGATCGAACCGTGTCGCATCTTATACAAATCTGGATCTTCCAACGGCCAACCGCCAACATGTCACTTTTGGCTGGTCATCTGGTCTGGTGTGAAGAGCGCGTTTGCGGCTGCAAATCGGCGCAAATGGCCAAACAATGCCAAACAACTGCAGGTCAGTGCAAAACGCACTCACAAACAGGAAACGACCGCACAAATCTGCAAACAACAAAACGATAAAGGTAAAACAACAAGTTGGCAGTTGGAAGGTCCAGGAAACTCAAAACCCACAGGCGGTGGCGAGGCCAATGGGGGGCAAAGTCGAGTCAAACCTCCATCTGAGGGGAGTTGCGCCGAAGCAATCTATCAATCTGTTCGTCTCAAGCAGGCTTCCCCTACGGCCCTACGATACCGCTTGCATTGGGTGTGGCCGTTTCACACCTCATTGAAGCCATATTGACATTTAAGCCAACATGCGTGCAGGGGTGACATCCACATCACCCTGACAGCACGCACACAAAAACAGAACTTCAACCCCAATTGAACATTGCCATTCTTTACCAACGAGGTGGTTGGAGGAAGGACTGCTTTCGTGAGATTTCGCCATCGCCATCCATTCCCTCCCAGTCTGTTGAACTCCGAGTGTCGCGTCCTTTTCTGCGCAGCGCCTCATTCGCCGAAAATGGGGACCTCTGACCTCTTTTCCGAAAACTGCAGGTGCTGCAGCTGAAAGCGGAAAAGTGTGAGAGCGGAAGGAAAATCTTGGAAAGTCAAAAAAAGGTGATGCAGTAGGTGATGCAAACAAACTTTGAGGCAACAGGCTTGGGTGCCCTTCAGTCCATACCCTTTTTGCAGTGCTTGACTGAGACGAGCCGGCTGAAGGATTCTGTCGTTTAGCTCATTCGCGACAAACAAAGGGCCGTGAACATGTGCTTCCACAGTCACAGGACGGATTCTGTCGTCAACTCTGTTTGAGGCTGTCCGACACGTGAGTTTCGTTGATCGGATGGACAGGTTGCCAGCATTCTCCAGGGAATAAGCTGACCAAATGAAGCGTCCGACATGATGTTGTAATCACACCTCACAGGCCCACTTCTGTTAGTTTGATCCGATCTTAATGAAGCTCCAAGCCTGACACCTCTGAGTCGTTGCCACGGTGTTTTCTCACACTGGCTTTAATTGGTCCTCTTTGAGGATGGATCCCGGCGCAGGTATTTCCTCACAGTGTCTTTGATGTCATCATCCTCGGGCTCCCACTGCAGCAACTCGCGAGCCCTCCTGACAAAAAGCAATGCTCACAACGTGACATCGATGGAGGTGATGAATTTGTGGGATTGCAATCGGGTTGTCTTCCACCTACGAAATACCAAATTGTGACCTATCCAAATCATACTCAATCGAAATCCACAAGGATTGAAGGAAGGCCGACGGCCCACCAGACCTGTCAAACGGGGGGTTTCCACCACACCGTCTCAGACCGAAAGACCCGAGCCGTTGGCGGCCCGTTGGCCTTGCGGCCTTTGATCCAAAAGTTTGTACATCGGCCTTTGTTCCCTCTTTTGATGGCCTCCAACCTATAATATTAGATTGCATTTTTTTATGATGACCTTGGATTGATGTTTTTCCCTTTTGATGTCTTTCAATGAAGACCAATGGCTTCTTGACCCCCCCGACCCGGTCGATGTTTCCATGACGGGTCACTTGTTCGAAAAGACATAGCTTCTCTGTGTGTAGTTCAAGTTCACTTGGGCGAGGAAGGGGCTCAGTAAGGCCTTTCCAAAGAAGCTACACCAGGACTCATTGATGTAGGCCAAGCACTTCACTACTCCAAAGGGTACCGGCCGGGCTGGCGCATGGCCCCAATAATTCTTGCCTCGGAAGAACGTGCAATCTGAACATTGGCGGTTGGATGGATTAGTTCGGCGTGGATTTGGAACCGCAAGTCCAAATCCACATGAGAACAGGGCAAAGAGAACACATCGTTTTGCCAAACAAAGAAATTCATATGGAACTGGTCGGTGATTTTTTCCTCAACTGCAGCCGCAGCCCCATCAATTCTTCAGCTGTCATTGTGGTAGGGCCCCAATTGTGAGACGGAGCAATCATTGGAACTCAAATCCGAAAGAAACTTTTGTCTTGGACGCTTCAACAAAGGCGTTCAAAACCTACGAGCACTACAAACTACAAACTACAAAGTCTTGGCTCACGTGTGCCCAAGTCATGCCAAGTGTCCATCTGTCTCAACCTCCCAACCAATGAGCTTTTTGTATTCGATGCCCTTCCCCGCCGATAGGTTGATGATTGTGGCATTGGGCCGTTTGAGACGGCCGTTGGGCTGAAGGAGTTGAGACATGGCCTTCAAGTGACCCAGCGCCACAGCATCCACACCAATGAAGTCCAGCAAACCTCGACGGCGAAGGGTACGGTCTGGTCGCTTTGAACATGCTTACCGAGACGACCAAGTACTCAGGTGAATCATGACGCGACCGCCTGGTCCTAACCAGGCCGGAGGAATCGGGATGTGTTTCAATGTGTTTCATGTTTTCCGTTCCACGTGTTGTTTTCATCAGCCAGTTGGGATGTCATCACTCACACAAACTGCCAGTTACTTAGTGAAGATGCCATCAGTGATCAATTCCAGTCAACGAGATCAACAAATCGCCCAACATCCAACTATGCTGGGAAACGTCGTGCACCGTCCATGGTCCACGGTCAACGCGGCTGATTCTTTACATCTGAAGATTGATGGTTCAAAGTTCCAAACCATTCAAACCCTAAGCATTCAACGGCTACAATTAATCACTCCAGGAAGAGCGGTTTTCGCAGATCTCCCGGAACACCGCGGTCGAATTTCTACTTCTCTAAGACTCCATCTGTATACACCAAGAAACTCTCACCATTGGGCTTCCCCTGAATCCACACATTGTCTTCACCCAGCTTGAGCTTGTCATACAGGACCTTGTCACCTGGGCCTATTATCCCAGAAGGGCGCAAAACGGCCGTGTAGAAGCTCGTCCCTTCGCCACGCTCGGCCTCATCCTTGGCCTCATGTGCTCCACACACCATCCTCTCGGCTGCGACCTGGCGACGGCTTGGTGCTCGGCCGTTTATATATATATATATGAACAACCGACCAGAACCATCCATGAGACCTGGAGTTTGTCAGAAATGGAAGAGAACTGGCTATGGGGGGCATCCCAGACTGCACCATCTCGCTCTCAGATCCTTGGCCAGTGATCCACTTCCAGCTTCAGAAGGAAATTCGCTGGCAACGACTTCTACGTTTGACCAGGTATGATGGATGCCACGACATGGAAAGGCAGCTGGATTGGATGATCAGTCTCCACATTCAGAGAACCACAAGTGAGCAGCTGGCCACTGGGCTCAGGGCCTTCCATCAAGGCACACTGCATGGGGTGTCGGGACATTGCCCGCTGTGTGGAGTAGAACTCACCTTCACTCACTTGCTGTGGGAATGCTCCTTTTGGAAAGGAAGAGTCAAGGATCTTTCTGCAGAATGGACCAACCGGCTAAATGCCGGCACTGATCCAGAGCTTTGGCAAACGGGCTTCGTGCAGAGCATTTTTTATGTTCCTGAAGAGGGTCTCGCCACCATTGAGGGCACTGGACTCTGGAAGGACCTGGGCCTGCTCCGGTTTGACAAAGGACATATCTGCTCGATTGCGGTAGCTCCAACATGTGGGGACAAGAGGCACCGGAGATTTGCTTTTGCGGTCTGTGTTCACCTCACCAAGACCAAGCAGCAGGTTGGTTCGATCACTGGCATTTTGCCAGTGATGAACAAAAGGAGGGCGCTCTTCTACGCCATGAAGCAACTTGCACTGCATGTCCTTGAGAAGACTCCTGTGGCCTTGTATGATGTGAGGACCTGGCAAACATGGAAGCCACACGTCGCTTTTGAGACCTACCCTGACCTTTTCCCTGGGCTGGAGTTCGAAGACTTTGACCATGTCTGGCCCTTGCTCTTCTCCACGAAGGAGCTTGAGCAGAATGAACTCAGGAGGGTCACGCAGAAGGATACGCAGAAGCTCGCCCACCGCACTGGCAAGCTTTTCGAGCCCACGGAGATCTTAGATTTGCAATCTCACGTCGATGATGATGCACATGAAATCCTTCTGAATGCAGGCGAACGGATGAGCATTTTGCTACAAAACAAAGAGCATGTCCTGCATCGGAAAGAGGCGGTCATGAAGGACAAGATTCCGCTCATACAGCAGAAAAAGGAGCTGCTGGCGGATTTGCTCTCCAAGCCTTCACCCGCGGGGCATGCATGGGAGACCTTCAGGAGTGGCATCAAATGCGGGCACTGCAAACTTCGCTACCACAGCAGGAGCCTCTTAGCTGAGCTGAAGGAAGCAGCGGACAAGCCGTGTGAGAAAGCTCCCAAGGCCTCTCCGCCAAAGCAGACAAGGATGGAGATGATTCATGCATTGGTGGCCTCATGTGGCCTCCAGCAAGGCCCTCAGAAAGGTGTGCACCACCTCAAGCTGGACCGTGCCTACCTCAGGTGCACGGAATGCAAGAGCTACATCCTGGCCAGGACAAACGAGGAGGCTTTCACCAGGTTCGTCGGCGAGCCTTGCCACTGCGGACCACTAGAGCCGAGTCTATGGCTGGGCCACGTGTCGCACACCATGCAGCGCACCGGGCAGACTGTGGAGTGCAGCAGGTGCCATGCACGCACCAGGATCGTCGGCAAGACGATCACCATGACGGCCCGACTTCGAGGACGGTGCGTTTTCCAAAGGAGCAAAGACTTGCGACAGATGTTCGCATGAGACTCGCTGACCAGAAAAGGCGTGCACGGGCGTGCAAAAAAATAAATAAATATATATATATATATATGAACCGACCAGAACCATCCATGAGACATAAGAAGAGTTGCATGAGATGTTTGCACATGAAAATGGACCACCCATGTAAGATCATGTAAGTAACTACCACAACAATCTGTCATAATCTGTCATAACAATATGTCATACTACATGCATGGTCTGGGCATGATGGAATATGTTCAGGAATTGTCACCATACAGTGCACACGACGGCACACGCACGGTTGATTACCTCAATTTGTGTTGTTCATTTGTGCCTTGCTGGAGGTGTAAGTGTCCATGTTCTTTTCGGGATATGGGCTCCCTTCATCCAGGTCCACTGGTGCATCATCTGCTCCGTCCAGAACGCAAGTGGCCGAGGAGGTGTACACGAAAGAGCTCACACCTCAGCCGCGGTTTGGGAAGGAGCCGAGTCCCTTGCTGAAGCTCGGTGAAACGAAGGGGAGGAAAAGAGCAGCTCCGATCGAACATGGTGAGGAAAAGTCGCATGGAAGTAGAAAAGCCCTCTGTTTGTACGGGACAGGTCATTAGCTTTTGGGGCCATGCCTTCCACGTACCCATGTGATGTGTTCGTGAGGGTCATGGGAATCGGACCATTTCAGGGTGAAGTCTGAATCGCCCACCTTGATCCTTGGCCATCTTCACAGAGTCTTCCAGGGCCTTCACGTTCACCCGCGTGATGAGACTGTCCTAGAACCCCAGACATGGAGAAAAAACACCCAGACTGAACCTAAGAGGCTGGGCACAAAAAAAAGAACCCCAACCAATGCTGGGTTGGTTGCTTGATGTTGCTTGTGTGTTGCATCTTCTACCTGGTGGGCTGGGAAATTCTAGCAATCCCGTGAAACAAAGGATGGCACCAGCTAAGCAGCTACTCCGAACAGCAATCCTGGTCCAAACGTCAGCAAAGCAAAGCCATGTTTGCCATATATTTGTTTGGACTCACTTGGCGAGCGTGGCAGGAGGAAGTTCCCTGCCAAAAGCCATGTTTATCCATGAAAACCAGTCACAGGTGACACCGTTCACTTGGGACATTCATGCGAATTTCTGACCTCATCCGAGCCACAGGTATCCCTAAGAAAGGGATGATTGAGGCCAAGTGCATGGTTCCTTTGATGGGAAAGCCGTAGCTGGACATCACAGTGTAGATCTCTTTCAGGTGCTTTGGCTCGCGCACATCGCCAGTGAAGTAGACCACATCTTCTCCTAGGGCACAAGAACTGCAGGACTGCAGGCGGAGTCTCACGCGAAGCCGGAACATGGGACCATCAAATGGAGACACATCAGCAGCCGTGCTCTTCTACGAAATCGCAAATCATGCGTAGCCGTGCGTAGCTCTGCAGCTTCCTTCGTGTCCTGCCTTTGTGGCGGGCGAAACCATGGACCTGAACGTGTCGAACGTGTCACGATGGTTGTGCCTTGCGGTTGTCTATGCCGCTATGCCTCGGATTTGCCCCAGGAAGTAGAATTAAGGCCTGTGAGACTCTCCTGCGGCTCCACCTTTGCGAATTCCTCTCTAAAAAGGCAAACCAAGAGTTTCCAAGCACTGAAACTAGTCCAAGCATCTCATCTCTTTTGGAGCTCCAAGGTCAACGCAAACCAGATTGAATGGTGCTTGATATGTTTCGAAGTGGAGCTGCTGAATTCTCACTCCAACAAAGCCACTACTTCCAATCAGAAGAACAGTCTCCTTCTCCTTGGAGAAGCGTGCCACCACGGCCTGAAGCACCAAAACCCACAAAGAGCAACTCTTGATGCTGCACTTTGTCATTGCTTCCTCTTACGTAGCTTTTGGCATCCTCTTGGGCAAAGGCTACAAGTACAGCAATGAGTCATGAGAGTGTTTGAAACAGCCATGGCCCAGGAATGCCCAGGATAATGCACATATCTCCGGCACTGCCAAGGCCATGGACAGTGGTCATACTCATTTCAGCTACTGTATGACCCAAATCAGGTCTCGTTCCTGGCGTTTTCATTGTCTTTCTTCAAACTCCTGCACCACTTGAGATGAGATGATCACCCCAAACAAACATCCAGCCCTTCCAGCTCTTCAAGGGGCCTCCGAGCTGGACTCCAGGGCCTCTTAGCTTCGCCATGGTCGCCCTTGACGGAACCCGCCTGGTGGTCGTTGAGGGCTTGAAAGTCCCCTAGCTTCGCCCACTGCTCCGCCACCCGCCGGCGCGAGCGCCCAGCCGCCCACAGCACCAGCGGAGGGACTGCAGCGGCGACCGCCAGCTCCATGGGCGGTCGAGGTGCGGAGCGACCGCTTGGCACCTATTGGAGTGTGGCGTCAAGTTGAGGAGTGTTTTCTCCGAAAAATTGGGAAGTGGGTCGGGAAAGTGTGAAGGTGAGAACAATTGTAGCTTTTGTATAGACATACCTCGCACGTATGCTGCATGGAAGATATGAAAGGTAGTCTCAATGTCTTTCTGGTTCCCAGCCAACACGACAATTTCAGGGTCTCCCTTTGATACAAATCCGATTCTTTCATGAAGCCTCATTAAACAACAATACGTTGATTTATTTGAGCCTGGGTAAAGCCGGTGAGCGTGCATCTGAAATGGAGCTCCTAAGCCGCTAGAATCTACAAGTGGCTGATAGTGGCTGGGATTTGGGGCTGGAGGCCGAAACACCCAGAATGAAGCCTCCAAACATCTTCCACGGAATCTGCAGTTTGACATGAACTTACTGCTCAGGTGGCTGAAAGGGGGGGCCACACCAGATCGGCGATGTTTCAAACGATGAGGTGAGCTTTGCTCATTTGGGCGGACAGCTTTGGGCCCTTTGAGCGAAAACGGTGCCCATCTTGAAAGACCGTTTCCCGACGCGATGAGGTAGTTTGTCTCACCGAGTTCACATGCATGCATTCCCCATGCATCTCTGCTTGCTTCTGGCGAACTAGTGACTAGTGGGCCTGACAGCGGCATATGGCATATGATGGCATATGAGGGTTGCAGTTGCGTAGGGAAATGAGGTGAAATGATGGGCACCGTCTTCCAGGTCACGCGTCTGTCTACTCGGGGAATGGCGGCAAGGCTCTCATTGGTGTCTAAGCAGCAGCCTGTAGTGCCTCTGCAAGCATCTCAACGAATTCAACACGATGGCGGACCAGGCGAACGACACTGCGACAGTGGGGCCCTTGTTGTGCAGCCACACCTATGACAGGATTACCCCAAAGTACCTTTGCTCAAGCCGAAAATTCATTTAGAACGAGCCAGAACTTGCAGATGCGATGAAAACTCAACAAGTGCACCTCTCCCCTCAAACCGAGATGCGAGCGCAGCGGCTTCACGGACAAAGGTCTCAACATCATCCAATGCCGAAGCCAATGCCGCCCGTACCACTTCCAACTCGCCTATGCGACAGAATTCCGAACCATGTTGGATTGAATGAATCACTTGATCGAACCTACACCGGTCACTGGTATTTGACCAGTATTTGCAGTGTTGTGGTATCGAACCGTACATCTACCTATCCATGCATGACCCTTTAAGGAAAGCCGTGCATTTCATCCTCTCCTCAAACAAAGGCAAAACTCACAATCACATATTTCAGGAAAGGTCTCAGCCCGACTCAGCCCCTGCCAGCGTCAAATATAATTTCCGTATACTGTACATAGTTACGAGCAATAATATAAACCATGGCAGCGAGAATGCCGCTTTATGACTTTTGCCAACCCTCGTTAATAATTCACAGTCACAAGAAACTCAGGAGGGGTGAAACCCTGCCCCCCCAACTCAAAAAAACTGGTGGGCAACACATTCGTGTTGTTCATACACTTCGTCACAGCCGGTCGGCGCCTCCGTCTGCCCCCGGTCAGCCGGTCGCCTTTGAACCCGACCGGTGGACCGACTGCGGGGGGGGGGGGAAGAAGACCACTCGGCCCACGTGTGGCACCCAAAACCACCACAGTCTCCGTTCGGCGAGACCGGAGACTAAAATAAGACATTGGAGGCGAAACAGAATGACCTAACTGGTCTCAAGATTGAATCCTTATACCCAAACACGACCTGTCTGGGACTGCCAGTCCGGACTGCCGCCCCAGACAGACCTCCCAAAAGCACCACCCCCAACTGATCGGCAGTCCGGCAGTCCCGGACCGGACCGGACCGCGGTGGAAACCTGCCTTGAGCTTCTGCGCCTTGGCCATGGGGTGCCATGGGGGTGGGGGTTTTTTGCCATGCTCAGAGCGCAGCCCATGGTGCACCTGACCTGAAAAGTTGACCTAACTGGTTCAGAACTGACCACTTTCATTATCTTTCGTTGCATGTTACATGTCACACCCCAGGGTACATTTTTTAATGATACGGCGACCACCGAGATCTACACAGGAGATTCTGCTGAGAATCTTGCCCAGTCAAAAATACTGGAGTTAAACAATGTTGGTTATATACAATGGAGGTGTCTGAAATCCTCAAGGCTGGCGTGCGGATGCTGGGCCAGCCAGAAGTTCAGGAACTAGGGTTTTCCCTCAAATCTGCCACAACGAACTCATCACCCTCATGTATAGTTGCATATTGATCGCCCCTTTTGGGGGGGCTGATGAGTCCTTGATGTCTCCTCCCCAGTGCTCAGATTGATGGTCCATGGTCCTGTCCGAAACGTTGAAACGTGTCGAAAAAGAACGGCCGCGTCCAATGCCTCACACCCCTCTTTTGACAATCATGAAAGTTGAGTTCACCCCCTCTTTATTGATTTGCAGTTCGTAGCCTTCCAATCATCCATCCTCAAACCATGGCGGTCTCCAACGAGGGTCTCGACCACTCACTGCCCAAGGGGCGCTTGACCTCGGTGGCGAGAAGACCAAGTGCTGTAACTGCAGCCTCCCGCGTCGTGCAATCCTCAGTCACCCAGCGATGTGCGAGCTCGCTGTCGAACTCGTGTCGGGCAGCGATGTTTGGGTGGTATGAACCACTAAGCAACCAAACTGTATTGAGTATTGTTGGTCACCTACAGGGTTCGGAGCTTTTGACATGCTCATGTTGACCACAGGAACCAACTATACAAGCTTACGTGCTGCCAGCACACAAATTTAGACTTACTAATTTCAGGGAAGCAAGGAATTGAGTTCCATGTGCACATGTCATGATGACCGTATCGCAATATCACGAGATGTCTTTAGGAATGAACAGAATCCCAATAGTGGTTCTGATTCAAGAACCCCTTGGTCAAGTAGAGAAAGGGTTCCACCCAGGCGACTGAACTAGACTTCCGAGTTCATGAAGACCTTGCTGCATCAGGGCCAGTGGAAATTGGCCAGTAGTGAACCTGAAGTAGTGGCATATTTTTGGAGAATGGCTTCAAAGAACCCACGTGAAAGAAACGGCCCCATATGAAATCACAGCTGGCCACATGAAATCACAGACGTCCCAGAAAAATCGATCCCGAAAAATCACCTCTGATTTCCCTCTTGTTCCCACTGGTGACCCGTCATCTGTCACCAAAGCACCTGATCTTCCGTGGCCAGGTGGGCCAGCAAGGAGCACAGTGAGAGGTCTCCAGCGTGTGCGGCTCCGATGCGACCTGCAGGGAGGTCGAGGCGCGGCTTGGAGAACGGACATGTTGCATATATTATGCATCCACTTCCGTGCATCAGTCCCACCTAAAGCCTGGCTGGCACTGGCTCTTAGCACAGCGTGCTCGGACTGCAAAAGCTCCAGAAGATCTGTGCCAAAAGCCTCGGAGAGCTCCAAAGGCATGGCATCTCAAATCATCTTAAATCTCTTGGACGCAAGCTGATGCAAGCGTCAACCCCCAAGCTGATACTGACAGACTGAAATCAACTTCTTCACCCATGTTACCATGTTCCATCATGTTCCCCTTGCCCCACATCTCCCACCTTCAGTGGCCTTCAGCCTTCCAACCCACGTCATGGGCCAAGCAGCTGCAGCTTCATGCCCAGCCTCTCCCAGAGCGCGACACGCCAACGCCTTCACGCCCACAGCAGTCGACCCCTCGGCCGAACGCAGTTCGGCCACCGCCGCGCCCAGCGCGTCCGTGCCCAGGTGGCCCAGCGCCACGGCAGCGTCTTCGGCACATCTGGGTGGGGTTTGGAAAGCGGAGAATCATGGCGCCCATCAAGCTACGTTCGGGGCTCCTGGCCTTACTGCTAGGAACAAGAAGCTACTGGCTACTAGTAACAAGAAGATATGATGACTGCCCCGCACCAACATGAAGACTATTGAAGACTCTTAGACTGACTTCATGAGCTGAAAGCGGCTTCCAATGGCTGTCACGCCCGCATTGTTCACCAAGCAGCAAAGGATCCGGATCTCGAAAAAGCCTGCACCCCAAAATGGTGGTCTCCACGGCGTTTTCCGTGCTCAGGCGTGCCTTCTTAGACTGAATGGAATACAGTAGTCTTGCATTTCAAAAAACAGGAAGCTGACTGAGATCCACAGCCAACAAAAACAAGGTGTGTTAGGCGGAACATGGCGGAACACGGCGGAACCAGAGCCATAAGGTCCAGAGACACCATAATTATATAGTCAGTTATGATCTATAAATCCAAGACCTTCCATCCCTCTGATCTACGACCAGCCTGAGCAGTCGGGGTATCGCCCTAGGTGCGTGCTTTGCCACACTGGGGCCCAAGGCCGCCAGGCTTTGGGCAGCCGCACGACGACCTGCGGATGAAGCACAAATGGAGCTACTCGCTGCATTTGTTCGAACGGCTTCGTTGCTGCCTCTCCCTCAGCACTATAGGTCTTTTCAAAGACCTATGAGAAAGGCCCAAAAAGAAACAGGAGTACTGGTGCATCAGCCTTCGGACAGAAGGTCATGTTTTTTGTTTCAGAGCCCGGCCTTTGACCTCGGGATCTCTCAGGCAGCCAGCAACGGCAGCTGCGACTGCTGGGCAAACCACTGGCCCCAAATCACCTGAGCCATGGGCATAGGGGATTCAAGCTTTCTCAGTTTTCACTAGCCTCCCCAATATACCCAGATCTTTTGTCAACGGAAGGGGGGTGCATTTCTAGTCCCACCTAATGCAGGTGCAGTGTTTTGGGGTGGAGGGTGATGCTTAAGGAACAAGCTTTCACATCTCCGCCTCGTCCGCCTGTTGATTGAAGCAATGATCTATATACATTCGTGAACTGTCACCACAAAAGTTGCAGCAACAACGCCAAGGACATACCAGCTAAATGGTTCAGATGGATCCACACTGGTTTCTAGGACAATCAATCACACAAAGCACGGGGGCGTCTTGCAAATGACATACTCCGCAAGCTGCGCCCCAAACGTTGGCAGCTTCCGGGTTGCACCAAACGTGGCGCCGAAGGCGCGTAGCAATCGCAAGGCTTTCATGCGAGCCTTCAAAGCGCCGGGCTCTTCGGGCAAGAGCACGCTGGCCTCATGGAGTGAGGGACAATGAGAACTTACTCACTCTGAAGAAGTGTTTATACTATCGTAGATGCCCCAACTAGGTATGATATGTGATCATGTATGATCTGTTGATCCATATACGTCCCGAATTGGTCCCGACGTCCAGTCCTTTGTTCAGGTCTTTGGGCAACAAAACTCGGATCCCAGTCGCAGGAGCACCACGGAGCAGCAACCACTCAATCGCTTCTGCCGCCTTTGGCAGTGCAGCACTTGCAGTGGCTGATGTAGAGCTCCAGGCAGCCATAGTGGCACATTCCAAGCTGCCACGTTCGGGCTTCAGGTCGGAGTCAAGCAAGCCATCTGCCCAGATCTCACTGAGAGTGGCTTCAAGAAAACGATCATCAGGTTCCTAAGGTGCCAAATCTTCACACATTCGCGGAACGGATTCAGTCAGTCATTCAGAATGTCCGGAGTTGATGGCATGTTGCATACAATGCTTTTGCATGGCGCACCATCCCAACCAGCTCTGTGAGCTTTTGGATGCTGCGAGGAAATTGCTGGAAATCTGGGTAACAACATGTGATGTAGACTCTTGATTAATAACCCCCCCTGATTGAATGGGAAATTCTCTTCTACCTCTCGCGGCCACGGTCGGAATCCCCTCCATTGAGGTGGCCTGTAGCGCCAGCATTCTACTGGAGCGCTAAACGAAAACGTCCACTGAACATGCAAGGATGAGAAAACTACCTAAACTCACCAACAGGAAAGGCCCAGGCGCTCATTGCAGCCCCTGTAACTTTTCGGGACACCTTTGTGAGCAAATGAAGTGCGTCGTCGGAGAAAAAGGGTCGACAACCACACAGTGTCCCTGGTGGCATGAATTTGCCCCATGTATGGGCAATGTGAGGTTCGTATTTGCCCGGCGTGATAGCCCGTCCAAGTTGTCGGCGACAGAAGGCAAAGGACGATTTTAACCATTTCGCTAAAGCTTGGAAAGTACAGTGTTCATCAGCCAGTTGTGTACATGGTGTCCCAAAATGCACAAAAAGGACAGCGAGCTCCGTAAAAGAAACTCTCATGTCAGCTTGGCATGACCACTGTAGTGCTTTAATGAAGGTTCCAAAGTTCGCCCAGTCTTCAACAGCAAAGGGCCATTTCTCGGGTACTGAGGGCCACTCTTGTTCAAATTTCCAAGGAAAGCATGTCGGATCAGCATGCCATTGGAGGTTGGGAAATTGCGCTTCAGGTGTAAGAGTTTCCTCAAGTCTTTCATCATCCGTTTCATGAATTTCTTTGGAGACCTCCTGCCCCAACAGCATGCAAAGGCGTGTCAACCACTCCTGACGTTGGAGAACAGCACGACAAACCTCTGGATAGAGCTGATGCTGGATTGCAGCATTTGCCAGCGCAGCTCTTTTTGCGGCATGGTCGGCCGTCCTATTATGGTGTATATCTCGAACGGTGGAGCCGTTGGCTCGTGCCATATCATCGTCTATTAGGTGTTCTGGGATATGCTCCAACAGGTGCGCAGGTATCCAGTCAACACTAAGCGGTTGTGGAGCAACCTGTTGGCGTTCCAATACAAGAGCAAACAAAAAGTTCCACCAGGGAAGGTGAGGCCATTGGGGTTGCACTTGCTGATTGGTGTACATCCAAGAGACTTGATCAACCAAAGTTTTGCAGTCACTTCGCACGTGAACAGGACCACTAGCATAAGTGAACGCATGTATTAGGGCCCAAAGTTCGGCAGTGTAGCTAGTCAATGACCAATGTGCAACAGGACCATGGGCGATAACCTGATTGTCGGCATTGACGACGGCAAAACCAGCGCACGTGAGTGCAAAATGCTCCGGCCACATGACTGATCCATCCGTCCACACGAGAACTGGTTCAGCCAGGGTCTCCCACTTGACTGGCTGCAGACAAGAGGGGTTAGAAACCTCTAGCCTTTTGGCAAGAACAGACCAAGGGTGATCAACTATACCTAAGAGTTCAAAGTTGCGGCCAAGCTCATGACAAACCGGTGGGGGATTATCATTAAGGATAATGGGGCACTCTCGAACAAGATGAGGGAGCGATTCTTTGGAAGCCATGCACAAGCGACAATGTGAGGAATCAACCAGCTTGGCTGCCGCAAGACGGTCATTGGTCAACACGCATCCAACCAGCTGGGCTTGGAAAAATGCTGAGACGGGTGATGGTGTCTCTGCCTCAAACGAAGGTTTACGCAGAAAAAGCGTTGACAAATGAAAATCAAGGAAGCCTCCAGGAGCTATAAAGTCTTTCCTGGATTGCAACGACGCTTGAGCATAGCAGGTATGCCTTGCAAGCTGCTGGAGAATCTTCTTGACTTCACGCACCCCCAACGACATGCAATCCACGAGTTTCTTACCTCGGAAGAGAATCATCCCAGTGGGTTCCAATTCCAAGCTAAAGAAACGGAATGCTTGTTTGAAGCTTTGGGCGATGGAAGTTTTTGATGGGGTTGCTTGCTTGAGCAAATGTCGGAATCTGGTCTCCTCTTGGGGAAACATAGTCAAGAACCTGTAAATGTCCAAGATTGCATTGTAATGCCTCGCACACAGAGGTTCCACACGGTGAGGTTGTGCAAGGAAGGCAAAAACCAGGAACCGAGAACGCCAGTGGGGGCGTCGGTTCCAAAGGACATTCACTATCTCGCCCTGGATTCTGGCAAGAGCTTTAGCCGGGATTCCATTTATGGCTGCATTATAGGTGCACTGCGGAATAACCTTACAACCAATAATTTTTGCTTTTTGGGAGATCGACAATGGCAAAGCTCCGATATTTTTAATGTCAGCAAGGATCTTGGCACATTTGTCTTCCGAAAAGTGCATAGCACATCGATCACTAGTTCGAATATATACACCTAAGACCTCGAGTTCCAATACCAGGGACATGTCAGGAAAGAGAGCTTTTACGCATTTGCGAGCAGCTGAGGTAGTACCCCAGACAGAGCACTTGTTGCTGTTCATGGCTTGACCAACTAGGTCGTCCCAAGCTTTTGTGATTTGGATTGCCTTAAACAAATCCTGGCTGTGAATGAGTCTTGTCCAAAGGTAGGCATCGTCAATAAATGCTCTGGCTGCAACCGTGGGCAAAACATCAAGCATATGGATCCAGGCTTTCATGTGTACATTTACCGCGATCAAAGAGAGGGAGCATCCCTGGGCTACTCCATTTGCACTATGCGTTGCAGCAGGGGCAAACCATGATTTGTACTGTAAGTGGCGTTCCAACTGCGAGTAGAGCTTGAGGAAGACACTGACAATACCCTTAGGGACACCAAAGGTGAGCATTAGGGCTCCAGCATACTGCGGTATGATCCGGTCAAAGCACTTTGCTTTGTCAATTTTTATGCCAATTAGTGGTTCCGAATCACTTTTGGCTTGATCGACGGACAAAGCGAAGTGTGTGTGGATCGCTGACATTTGGCGAGCAGGGATTCCTCCCTGCAGTTGGAAAGGCATTACAGCTGACTGCCATTCTCTCAGGTGCCGAAAGCGTGCTCCTGTATATGCGAGCAAAATAACAGGGAGCAAAGTAATTAGCCGCTTTTGCAAAGGCTCTGAACTTCCATTCTTGTTAAGAATGACCTGCTTTGCAGTCGCAAGTGCTTGTGGGAGGTGGGTGGAATACTCCTCAACCTCTCGAAAGAGCAGTGCGAACGCCTCAAAGCATTGGAGGGGTAGCATTTGCATTTCTAGAGTACGCCAGCCATCAAGGCCAGGTGCAGCATCAGCTCTCCGACTTTTGACGGTTAGAAACAGGTCATGGGCAGACAAGTCAGGGACCGAACAGGACTGAGCAAAATTGTGCACTTGAGGCCATACAAGTTCAAGCATCTTAAGAGGGTGTGGGAAACCCTCATTAGCGCTGTAAACAGTATCCCATTGTTGGTTGATTTCAGCAATTGCCTCCCTTGGTGCAAAAACAATATTTTTCTGCTGGTCGATGATGAGGTTTGCCGGTTCTTCGGCATTCTTATTTTTGAGGTGCCGAAACAGGTAGGCAGAACCAACCTTAGCCGAGTCATTAATCTTATTCTTCCAAGCTTGAATGCGTCGAAGTTTGCATTTCAGCTCAAGAACAGCCTGGGTGTCCTGGACCCACTGAATGGCTCTGGCTACTTCAACCAGTGTGGGATTGCGTTCATACGGCCACAAGCATGGAGCCTGTAGCCAGAAGAGTCGTGACCAAGTTTTGACAATCGTGCGGTGGCATATGACCTTGCGTGGACCAGGTTGAATGACCTGTGTGTGAAAGGCTTGGATCTCTAAAAGGCCTCCTAGAGCATTGGCTAGCCAGGAGCCACGCTTTGTAGTGGCTGCGCCTGAGTGGTTTTGGCCCGGGCAAATTTGCTTAGGTCGAGTACGAACTGCCTTGCCACGCTCTTGTGGTCCTATTCCCCATGAGGCTCCTTGATCGAGCAGGGTGTCAATGCACAAAGAATTGGCAAAATGCCACTTGTTCTCAATATGCTCATGATGAGGGTAAGCCGGTGCATCAAAAGCGTGACTTTTGAACCCAGGGGGGAAGACAAAAGGTGCAGGTTTGTACAACTTGAAACCTTGTTGCCAAATAGTTTTCCAGTTGAAGGTGGCTTTGATCGGTCTGTGTTGAACACGAAAGAACGGCAGCACCTCCACTGAAGCCAGAGCGGCCGTGGCAACCGAGTTGGTTAAGATGCCATCAATGCTGCTGCACCCGTCACCATATCCTGTAAAGTTACCATCCATGGAAAAGGTAAGTGGCCTAGAAGTGTCCTCACCCGTAGCAACTTGCAAAACATCACACCAGTGCAAATAGTTGGTGGCGTGTGCAACAACGGGGTATTGAAGGGGCGGAAGTTGAAAATCACCCGCGATGATGATGGGAATATCCCCCCACTGACTGGCAACCGAAAGAATGTCACTTAACAGAGAATTGTTGAAGTCCAGAATGTGCTTGTCGGCCGAGGCAGCGGTTTTACAGTAAACTGAGAACACCAAGGCTCGCAGGTGTCTAGTGAGTTGGATCCAACACGCTTGCACACGTTTTGTAGCCCGGAGTTTCACATAAAGACCCGTGGCATCCTCGCCTGGGAGGAGTTCTGTTGCAAGCTCTTTTGCTGCAAGGATGGCAACACCTCCGTGCGGCGTGCGAGTAACGCCATGCGATGATAACAAGCCTGGTAGTAGCTCTCCATGGAAAAGGTGGGAGCCTTCTTGTTGGACCAATTTGGACGCATGAATGACACCGTTCTTTCCAACCCGGGTTTCTTGCACACAAGTGACATTGGCATGG